GAGACATCCAGGTCCCACAGAAACAACACAGAAGAATAACACATTCATTCTAAAGCAACAACACAGTCCAGCTTCTCTTATTCACAGACCAAAGTAAATGTTTTTTCTCACTCCTCACACTCCTGAGCACGGACCTTCGAAATTACCTGGATTCACAATGAAATTAATTTCTCCTCGCTCTGCACTTACCAATTATCATATCTTCTCCTCTCATTCATAGGTCTTTTTCCATCGGAAATCCACACATCATTATTCTGTCAGACTCCTTGGGCACTTCTGACTTGCAAGCCCTCTAGCCGTTCCTTCATACTCTTGTATTTCAGGATCCTGACAACCGCCTTTTTCTTCTGCCATATCGACAGAGTTCTTTACCTTTGCCCTTCCCTTAACCTCCACAACTCCGTCCTTCCCAGCACCGTTTGGGCTGGTCTCCATAGAGCTCGAAGCCAGAGATCTTTCTTGATCCTTTGGTGGTAAACATCTTAGGTAATGGAGAACTGCGTCTGGCAAGTGGCAGTCAGAGTAGCTGCTCCTTCAGCCATGATGATCCCTTTGCAATTACTGATATCTTATAATTGCACTGGCTCCTTTATTAATCCCATCCCGTTTCCTTTCGTATTCACCGGAGTTAAACAGCGTTTCTCTTCTCTTTCTTGCCAGTCTCTGTCTTGCAGCCCAAATTTCAAATATTTGCCTTATCCACACTAGCAGTGGAGGGCACAGACTAAAATATTCACTGAAAGGTCATATCACTGAAAGTCAGTGTTTTGTTTCATCACAGTATTGTCTTGACTTAAACGTTTCTGCTGCTACTGCTAAATATACACACTCAGTCTCTTACAGTTTAATACGAAGATGTGTTAAGTGCATTTGAGAATATGGTTTCTGGGTGGTAAGAGAAATTGTTCCCATAGAATTGGTTACTGAAATGCATATAAATTACAGATAGAAGTGATATGAATTAAGTGACCGTAATTCATAGTGACCCGTGTTTTTACTGGCATCTGCGAAAGTAACATATTTGACTTTATGAATTACAGATGTCTTTTTTTCTATGAAATCCTCTTACTGGGAAACTCCAATATTTTAAATAGCTGAAGTAGGTACTGAAAAAAAAAATAATGGCTGTGTTGAAATTGTATTTTAAAACTAGCACAGGCTGTAAATAGACTATTTATAAACAGGATGCTTTGTGTATGTTTAAACTTTGTCAAGTCCGCTAACGTGGGGGAAATGCCAGCGTGACATTCCTGTTAGTCATTCACGGGTTTTAAAAACTGTCAGCATTGCCCAAAATATTTTTAAGTCTTAAGATACATTTATATAAAACATGACTGATTTCTGATAACTGTCATTAATTATTTTACTAGGAAGGAAAACAGACTGCATTCTCTTAAAGAAAAAAAAAAAAAGACAACAAAACCCACCCTGTAAAGTATTCACCTTGATCTTAGCTGCTTTGCCAAGGAACAGCAGAAGCAGCTCTCTTAGGAAAGTTAACTTCTCTCCTTGAGAGTCACCGCGGCGGTTACACCGAGAGGGGAGCAAAGCCTCTTCTTAGCAGGCAGGGGCATGGCCGGGCGGAGATGCGGTGCTGGGGACCCTCCAGCCCTTCGCTCTCAGCAGTGCACATGGTAAGAGCCCCTCCGGCCTCCGGCCAGCTCTGACCTCTGCCCACCCACGTGGCCTCGCAGAGTCCCGTCAGGCATTAAACTGAGCAGCGTCCTGCAGCTAAACCGCTGTTAAACCTTGCTGATCTTTTACATTTCACTTTGGGATCAGTAGTTTTCTTGATAATCCGATGCCTTTCCTTCTCTTTTTACCACTTTGGCTCCTGTCTTTGTACTTCAGGAAAGCACCAGAACACATTATAGCTTATCATCATTCGGGACTTGGCATCTGACTCAGTACTTGTTCAGTGTTAGGTTCACCGTATCTTTGGCCGACAACATTTGTTAAGTATGGCAACAAACAAAAGGGGGTTTAATGACATCAAAACCTGTCCAAGTGACAGAAGATTGTCAAGGCCAAATGGCCATGGTTTTTAATGTCATATGCGTTTGAATCTGCCTCAGTATATGAATAGGGCAGCAATGCTTAAAATACTGTCTTCAGGAAACGTAAGATCTTCTCTACAGAAGTGGGCATGAAGTTTTGAGCAACACCTCAAGGCTTCTTTGTTTATCCTTAGCCAGAGAATTACACTTTTCCCACATGTTCTGGTAAACATGGCAATATCTCTGTTATAGAAGTATTTAAAAATAGAAATTCAGTCAAAATCCAGTACTCCAGATCTTAATCCTCTCTAATCCTTTGGCAGGATCTTCTTTTAGGCAATTTGCTTCACAGTCATTCCAAGTTGGTTGGTTTTTTTTTCATGTAAGTGGATGGTAAACAAAGTGAGCTTTTCTTTGCATACTTGTGAAACATACAACCGTTGCTTCTGTGGTTGGGTAAGAGGGGAGTAACATACACCCAGTAGTGAGAGGGGCAACATTTTCAAAACTGTCATTAATGCCTGCCTTCCAGGGGGGGCAGATTTTTAGACCACAGACATAACTCCCTCTCTGAAAATCAGACGTTTTGCAGCGGACCACCAAACATCCAGTCTGTTTCACGCTGACATCAAGACATTCTAACACTCAGTCATTATTAACATTTTAAAGTCCTGGCCCAAGTATCTGGCACATACAGTTGCCTCATCCCTCCAGGCATTACACATGTTACTCTTGCAAGAAAAAACTCATGATAAAATGAAGTGGAACTTTAAGTGTTACAACAATTTTAAGAAATACCAGTAACTCAGCGGAAGTGAATACTAAAGTAAATCCACAAAAATTTTGTATTTCAAGAGCTACACAACCAGCTGGACTACATTTTACCCATTCAGGAATATGGGTTCAATACTTTGCTCTCAATTAATTAAAGACATTGGTTATGTTCCACTTAAAAATATGTTTATTAAAAAATACGGTAAGTTTTATAGAAACTTACTGTGTAATTATTAAGCATTTCTGCAATACTGTTGATGTGGCCCAAGAGTGGAAAAAAAATCATTAATTTCTTAGGAAACGTTTGCTCTGGATTTCAGTTATCATTTCATTGTGTACTTTGGGGTTATTTTAAAGGCTTTTAGCTGTCAGGAAGCTTAGAGGAGACATGCTAGATCTGAAAATCCCAGAAAAATGTTGCTGACATTTTGGTTGCCAACACACAGTGCCAGTGTCTCTTGTAAATGGACAAACAGAAGAATAATGTAAACGCTTTTGGGCTTCAAACTAATCTCATTATTAGAACAAAGTAGTCTTTTGTCAGCCTCAGTAAGAATTTCTATAGCACAGTATTTTGAAAATCCTCAAGTTTAGGTAATATTATTTACAATGCAGCTCATTCCCAACTGCTGTGAAAGATGAAAGATTATATTCCAGAGTTATAATGGACACGCATGTTCTTTTAAATCCAAACATCTCTTTAAATACCCAATTTGTGTGTCTAATTCCTAGAAGCACCTGAATATCTAAAAGAAGGAAGGTAAAACTGTGCTCTTTGTCTATAAAGGAGATAAAGTGTCGTGTGGGGGTTGCTGGATAAAGAGTTTTGTTGTCCCCACTATAGCCCCTCCACCTCAGGAGGGATCCATACAGTGCAGATGCACTAGCTTTATGCTCATGGGTCTGATCCCTGTGGCACCCCTACAGATAACAAAATTCTTCCATCTTGTAAATATTTGCAGAATCAGGTCTTATCACAAAATTTCAGTATCTTCCCTTCAACTGCACAAGCTGGGTAACTAACAAAAATAGCTCAAGGCAACAGCCTACAGCAGAATGCCCACTTGAAGAGACGAGAATCAGCCTCCCTAGCCAAAACAGCCCTGCCTCCCAGCAGCAGCGCTCCCCTTCTAGTCCTTTTGCAAGAGGTCGGATAGGAGCGAGGGCGGTTTAAGGTCTTTCTCTGACCATTAGCACTTAAGAGTTGCCTGTGGCAGCAAGAGTCCTCCAGCACTCTTTTGACTCTGTTGAACCTATTCAGTCTTGTTCCATTTACCTGCAGTAGAGAAGGAACCTCAGAAGCCAAAGAGGCACAGGAAGGTGCGCTTTTGGAAGTACTAAAACACCCCCATAAAACTCACCGATCCTTCTGCAGTTGTGCAAAACCCGTGAGGATCCCTTACCGATGATTCTTTCCTTCTCTATTCCCAGCAGAGCGTAATATTTTGCCTAGGGCGTGATTTGCCTATACTAGTGAGAAATCTTGCGTGAGATTTGGCGGCTGGACAGCTTTTCACGGACTGAAAGTTAGATGGACACAACTCAGTGTGTACAAAGAATCTAACTGGGTCAGATATAATGACATCCACACAGTACATTATCACTAATGAACTGCTTTATCCCTGACAGCCTCTTATTAATGCTATTGTTTGTATTGTCACCTGTGATCCATACCGGTGAGAAACAGCAGGACGCAGGGCTGCAGGTGGCACACCTTCACCTTTTTCTGAATAGCCTTGCTAGAAAAAGGATTGTAGTTTCTCAAAGTGAATTAAATCCTTTTATTGTTGAAATAAGAATGTCCAGTGCCATTGTGAATAATAGTTGGGGTTATTACATTACGCTTTTATTTCCCCCGAAACAAACGCCGATGCGCCTAAAGTAGATACGCTGTAGAAATAACAAATATCTGTAGAAATAACAAATATTCTGTAGAAATAACAAATGTTTATAACCCACCGACGTGACTGAATTCAGTATTAGTTTTATTTGTCTGAATTAAATAATTGCTGAACAGTTAGCCTGCCCCATGGAGAATGGAAATGTACACATTTTTATTTGCCTCTCTGATACCCTGCTTTCTTTGTAGAAATTCTTACTTCTTTTTTGCATCAGCTGCACTGCAGCCACACTACTTACAATTAAGTAAAGAGATGACCTGACATTCTACACGGATGTGGAATAAGGACTTTGGTGCCCTATCACTAGCAGATGTATTTTATTTCACAGGTCATGGACTGTGCAATGCCTCTGATTGGTGAGCATCAGACTGAAGACAGGCAACATATAACTGATCTAGTCGTAAGCAAAATGAACCAAATGTTGTCCAAAACTCCTATACCATCTCCTCAGAGACCCACTGCCACTCAGCAGCCTCAGGTAGGAAGCTTTTGAGTTTAAAATAGACTATCTTGTTTTATTACTTTATTATTTTAAGCTTAACTTTAAGCTTAAAATTTTCCTCTGGAAAACTATGCAGACATACCCTGAACTACAAGGATTCAGGAAGTTATCAACATGGTTTATAGGTTTGTCATGTTTAATGAGATTACCTCCAGATACAAACAAGTAGCGCAAGTATTGGTGTGATTTTACCAGTAAACTGTGGATTCGGTGAATTACCAGGCTCTGTCTTGTTTCCTTTCAGTTACATCTGTATAAAATATCATGGAAATAATAGGAAGCACTGTCATAGACAATCTTTGCTCTGAGGATGTCAGAAAGAATACTAAGACAATAGTTCTTGTTGTTCTTGTGAGAAATGAAATTACATGATAATTTTTTTTTATGTGCTGCAATTAATGAAAATGCCTTTCAAACCTAGGAAACTCCTGAAAGATGTTTAGCGTACTAGAAAACTTGTGTCAAAGATTGCAAATGGATGCATTTCACTTATTTTGTCTTACATGGCGTGACAGTTAAAGTGTGGGGATGCAGAATTCTGCCCCTGGCCTTGCTACCTTTCAGCCTTTGGAAATCTTCGTTGTGTTTCCATTTCCATGCTTACAAATTGTGAAGTTTATTTTATTGATGCTTTAAATAACTTCTGAGAGTGTGGTATTTTTGTGAAAGTCTCTTAAGAACATAAACGTTTTGCCTCTAAAGTGGAGAGATACAGATTTGATGGGTGGACTGTCGGATGGATAAGAATTGACCGGATGGCCATGTCCAGAATTACAGTCAACGGCTCAATGTTCAAATGGAAACCAGTAACAAGTGGTGTCCCTCAGGGGTCTGTACTGGGACCACTACTGTTTAATATCTTCGTGAATGGCATCCGTAGTGGCACTGAGTGCACCCTGAGCAAGTTTGCAGATGACACCAAGCTGAGTGGTGCAGTCTGTACCCTAGAGGGAAGGATGCCATCCAGAGGGACCTGGATGGCAGGGTCCTGCACTTGGATCGTGGCAGTACCCCAGCATCAGCACAGACCAGGTGATGAATTGGTGGAGACCAGCCCTGCAGAAAGGACGTGGGGATACTACTGAATGAAAAATTGGATATGACCTGGTAATGTGCGCTTGCAGCCCAGAAAGCCAACCGTGTGCTGGGCTGCATCACCAGCAGCGTGACCAGCAGGTCAAGGGAGGGGATTCTGCCCCTCTACTCTGCTGTCCTGAGACCCCCCCTGCAGTGCTGCGTCCAGCTCGGGGGTCCCCAGGACAAGACAGACATGGAGCTGTTGGAGTGAGTCCAGAGGAGGCCACCAAGATGCTCAGAGGGCTGGAGCATCTCTGCTATGGAGACAGGCTGGGAGAGTTGGGGTGGTTCAGGCTGGAGAAGAGACAGCTCCAGGCAGACCTTATTGTGGCCTTTCAATACTTAAAAGGGGCTTATAAGAAAGATGGAGAAAGACTTTTTACCAAGGTCTGCAGTGACATGAAAGGGGTTTTAAACTGAAAGAGGGTAGATTTAGATTGGATATCAGGAAGAAATCCTTTATGATGAGGGTGGTGAGGCCCTGGCACAGGTTGCCCAGAGCAGCTGTGGCTGCCCCTGGCTCCCTGGCAGTGTTCAAGGCCAGGCTGGATGGGGCTTTGGGCAACCTGGGATGGTGGAGGGTGTCCCTGCCCATGGCATTGAACTAGATGATCTTTAAAAGGTCTGCTCTAACCTGAACCATTCCACAATTCTATGACTCTCTGAAAAGTGCTATATAAATGCTAAATAGCATCTTTCGTGTCTTCCTAGCTAGGCAGCAGGTCTGATCAAGAGCAGCATTATCAGCTACAACTTTCATGTACTTCTTTTAATATACTGAAGGAATAAATCATGACGATACATTCTGACCATAAACTATTATGGACTGTATTGCTGCTCTAGACCAGCGCAGTTCCATGGTAATCAGCTAAGCAACAGAGTAAGCCAAACTGTAATACAGGAATTACCAAGCCTAAATCAAGAATCTATTTTTACTCCCAGTAGGCTCCACACCAGGTAAACAATTTGAAAACAATTTTGTGGCATACCTCAGACAGACTAGTTCTTGAGGCAGAATGACTAATTTGTTCTTCAAATATATCATCATGCTTTAAGTTATAAAAATACACCATCCCACATAAAAAAGTAGTGTGGCTTCTATTTATATTACAGCCACTTGAAACTAAGCACAAAATTGTTTCAACCACGGAACCACATACAATGGAGAAGTTTCCATCCAACATGACTCAAGTCCATTGTAAAGAGCACTAAAAAAGAAAGACAAGAAGGGGAAAAAATAAATAACCTTATGCCAAGATATAGTTTCTTTTAGGACTAGTAAATTAGCCGTATATTAAAATGAAGCAAAGAGTGAAATTTGGAGTTTCCCAGAGCATACGAGTCAACATAAAACAAAATTTACAACAGTAATAGACATTATTGTACCATGAATAGATTCACAGTCATTTAGAGCACTTGATATTTCACATTTTGGGGAAAATGTAAGGTCATGGGTAGGCATGCTTCCCTGGATTTTGAAGAAGAAGGAGGAATGTTTATGATTACTGATGTCACTCAAAGAAACTGGGTATCTGTGGTATGTAAATAAAGTTTTTACTCATTTCCAAAGAAAAACTGCCTACATAAGTCCAGAATGAAAACAGGACACGAGGAAGATTTTAAGAAAGGTCCTAAATTCCTCAGTCATTGCTGTCACTCATCATGTCCATGAAACGGGTTTTTCCACTCAAACAAAAAAGTTTGGATGAATCCAAAGGTAGTATTTGCTGGTTAGATGTCTAAGTTTAGGTTACTGAAGAATCCAGCTTTTGCTAATAGCAACAGGATGTTATTCAACATTAATTATCTTCCTTTATCCTATCCTTAAATTAAAAGGATCAATTAAAGTTGACCAAAGCCAGAGATAACCCTTCAGAATATTTGCAATGTTTGTTAGTTTTCCTCTCAGTTAATCAGACTCTGCTTCCTTAAAATTTGCCTTGTCATATTATCCACCAGTTTAGGACAGATAGAGGGGATCTGAATTTCTACAGAAGGTGCTATTTGCAAATACCCATTCATCTTACCAGCTTTAATGGAAAATCGTGAAACAGATCTATAGTATTTAAAACAGGTATCACCTCCTGTGTAGTTAATTTTTAGCTAGGTTGTTTTCCTAAGAATAAAATCAGTCTGTTAAAACAAGCTGTCCCTTTCATCTTTGAATAGTCTTCTCCTTTTCTAATCTGAGAAATTATTTCCTAATCTTGAGAAATGCAGTCCATTCATTCGCGGGGCAGGGGGATACTGCATATTTCTGCAGGTCATATAAAATGCAAAACCAGTAAGTTATCCCAAATCAACTATGCGCATATGTATGTGTGGTCTTAGAAACCAAAGGAATATAAATATCAGAGTAAAACGTGTGTTTTGCTACTTCTGCTTTTAAATGAACGGTTTACAGGCAATAGTACAGCTATAGATGTGCCATGTTTTGAATTCCCTGATTATCTACATGGGTTTTTAAAAATCATTTATAATCTACCCACTACTGTGGCATTGGGTGCATCGTACATAAAAGAATGCTTCAATTTAGAAATGCCCGCAATGGTCAGTACTATTCCAATTAACCATCCATCAGAAAACAAACCAATGATTAGGAAAATAAGTCTTTGTTTAGAGCTGCGCAGCCAAATCTTGATGGAAATGATTGGCCTTGCAATATGTTCTGAAGGCCAACAAAGTGCTCCCTGTCAGAGAGCCGGAGGGAGCAAATTCCGAAGGCAGGGACCTCAAACAACTGCCTCGCTTGTGTTGAAACCTCAGAGGTGCAGATCCTGTGATTCTTGAACACATTAAATCTATAATCTGCCATTTTTTTCTGTTCAGTGTTTACCTCAGAGAGTCCGTATGCACTTTGACAGCCATCGATGACTACAAACAAAATCTAAATAGTTATTCTTTGCCACTTGCACTGTCCGTCTGCCTGGAAGCTCTTTTACATCGTAGTCCCTAGTAACCAAATGACTTTTCATATTAAAATACTTACTGAGTTATTGTTGTGGCTGAAAGGGAGATCAGGCAGCAGCAAGATGCCTTCCTAAAAATACTGGCAGAGAATCTAAAACCTTGTCCTCAAAACTCGTAAGGAACAATGACAAATATTGCTGGGACGTAACTACGTCACAGAACACTGAACACAGTCCCTTTCAGAAGCCATCCTTACCCCTGTCACCTTAAAACGATTTTTACAAGTCATTTCTGCAATACTGGAGGTTCGCTCCAGAGCGAATGCCCCTTTTCCTGCAGTGAGGTTTGGTTATTTGCATCACAGCGACATCTTGTGACTCCTTCTCTTGTGAGAGAACGGATTTTGAGAGTTGCGTATTATTTAGTATTCCAGCGCATTAGAGAAGCTGTCTCACACTAAACAAGAAATTGGGTATGCATTTTACAAATACTAAATGCTCCCTGTTCAAAAATTTCTCACAATGTTATTGTAATGTATTTATTTCCTTTATTTTCATTATTTTAATATGGAACATATTTTAATGTGCTGCCTTAATGCGTACGTATATATAAGTGTATATATGCACACACAATGTTTAGCTGTGCGTATTTGGAAGAGGAGATGCTTATTTTAATCAAAGGGGTTTTAACCTTTTTAGTTATTTTACGTTTGTGAAAATACAAGAAAAACAGCTCTTAGCCTTTTAGATCCTAATATAAATGTATGGAATTAAGAAAAGCAGAAGAAAATAAACACGTATGGACCCTGAGCTCACCACATCCTGGTAAAAGGCCACATTTGAGGCACACTCCATTCCAGCAAAATTTACAACAGTCAAGTTTATTTATCACAAGTATAAAATGATAGCTTCTTTTTTTTTCCCCCCCGACACCAAGGCTGTTCTGTCCAGCTTTGAATAAGACACCTATTCAGGGCAGATACTGTGTTC